ATACTACTGTTCATATTCATACTACTGTTCATATTCATACTACTGTTTATATTCATACTACTGTTCATATTCATACTTCTGTTTATATTCATACTACTGTTTATATTCATACTACTGTTTATACTCATACTACTGTTTACATTTGCACTACTGTTTATACTCACACTGCTGCTTATATTACGCTACTGCTGATATACAAATATATTTTTTTACTAGTCTTATTGCATATGTCACTTTACCTACACCAATATCAAGGACTTCATACATACACCGTGTACATTCACTTCATATGCTGCTTTGCCACTCACTACAAATATCAATGTCAGGACCTTCATTTCATTTTATTTTATAGATATACTTTTTTAAATATTTTTATACCGTATAGTACAATTTAAGACAGTATCATGCTTTTATTATTTCATTTTATGCTTATGTTTAATAAATGTTTTAATGTTAAATGGTTATTGTTGCACCGGGGTCTGAGAGAAATGTAATTTCAATCCTGTGTATGTCCTGTACATATTGCAGCTTTTGACAATAAAGTGACTTTGACTTTATAGAACAGCTGCTGATGTAACTTTAGTGGTCAGAACTTGTGCTGATCCTGGCCCAGGATGTGAAGTACTGTCCTGTCCTTACAGTAGGTTTCTTGTCAGCGCCACCATTTTAACAGCAGGTGATGCCATAATCACAGCAATGGGTGAATCCAAACATCTATCCATTTTCTTTACCCACTTTTTCCTGTCCAGGTCATGAAGAGATGGTCCTTATGCCACTGTGTGAGAGGCAGGGGACACCCTGGGCAGGTCACAGATCCATCACAGAGACAAACAACACACACACACACACACACAAAATTGAGCATGAACTTTGATGTTTTGAAGCACTCTCTCCATGGCTGCCTTAGACAAGTCTGCGGGGAGAGGCCTTATAATCTAGCTGTGTTTTTTCACTACTTTTTCCTTTTGACTCTCCTTTCCTGGGCCGGATTTTAGCAGGGGCTTACAGGGGCTGCAGCCCGGGGCCCCGGCATTTCGGGGGCCCCGAAGGATGTTTTATGTTTTTGTGAATGGACAGTGTCAGAATTTAATCAATGACTGATGATTTTGACAGCACCGATGAAAAATGTTCCAAACGTCCATCTTGAATGCTTGCTTGTTATTGGTCCACTTTTGACGCATCTTACGCATTGGGGAGGAGCATCGGGGAATATTATTTTACAATGGCGGACAACAAAAAATATGACAGCGGAGTGCAGAAAAGAAGGAAGAGAAAAGAAAAAGAGCATCGCGACAAAGAGGCGACAAACAAAATGCCTAAACTGACAGGCTGACTGAAAGAACTTTGGGGCTGTAAAATAATTTGAAAACAAACTTGGTCTTTTTTAAAGTTTATCTGCTAAATTAAAGTAAAAATTTAAATGATTGTAGATACAAAACAAAGATTTTGCATGTCTGCATTATGAGACAGGCTCAAAGTTTCTAACTTTTCAGGATTGAGTAATGTTTTCTTATTTGGGTTACATGGTTTGCATTTGAGTAAATGTCGGTCGTGTTTGTGGTTCTAGTTCCTCCAAATAAGATGAATGCGGAAGTGTCATTAATAAATGGAAATCTGTATTTTGTTCTTCATATGTTTCAACATGTTCTCTGTAAAAACCTTGGTCTAGAAGATGAAAATTGTTCATTTTCACCCATCTCTGCTTTTATTGAGAACAGGGGGCTGTAAAAAAAATCATAGAATATGAAAAAAAACTAGAATATGATGCAAGCATCATATTCTAGTTTCAACCCCAACATGTGGTTTAGTCTTTCTAGAAAAGGGTTCAGAGTTGTTTGTAGTTTGTGACAACTGGCTTATTAAAGTTGTAAGTTGTGCAAACTTGCTGTTCGGTCACATACAAACACATACAAAAAAAAAAAATATATATATATATATATATATATATAGGGCCCCCATCCTGACTCCAGCCCAGGGGCCCCCATCCTCCTAAATCCGGCCCTGCTCCTTTTGGTTGCCGTTTGATTTTAATTTGTTTGTTTTTTATATTAATTTGTTTGCCTCTTTTATGATTGTCTATTGTTGTCGTTGTTATTCACTGTTGATCACTCTTTGTTAAAGAAATCAGGCCTGTCTTGTAATTGAGTCCCCGAGGCTCAATGGGATTAACCTGTATAAATAAAGATTGAATTAATGAAAAAAAACTGGTTGTCCCACTGTGAAGGTGGTGAGTTTGATGTGACTCATTGGACTGACGAAGTCTTTTGGATGAAAAACAAAATGTTTCAACAAAAAGAAACTGTCTTTGTTGCATAAGGAATGAAGTTACTTTACTTTCATTAGCTAAACAAAACAGTTAGTAACTTGTTCTTGGTTATTTCTCAATCCTAATGAAATTGCGTAAAATAAAATCATAAAGTTAAGAGTGAGTTTGTGTGGACAAAAGTTCACAAACAAATATAAAGAGGCATTTTTAAGTCAACATTACTAAGGTAAGTGAATGTGGCATCTTAAGATGACGTAGCTGTGTTGTATCACGTGATCGAGATTGGGCGTGACTTATTATCATTTTCCGGAAACATGGAGGCTATATTGAGTGATATTGTTGCTCCTGAGGACCTTTTAGTAAGTTTTCTTTTGCTAAACCTTTTACAGTTGATAAAACAGAACTTCTAGCACATTAACGACTCTTAGTTATGTCTCTGTTTGTGTCTTTTGAGGATATTTTAGTCAAATTGAACGTGTTGACTCGTTTGTTGCGTCACGTAGCTAGCTAACGCTAACGTTCGTGTTTTGATTAAAACTCCGTCCCTTGTTGTAACATAGCTATGTAAGTAAATCCCGCAACACCAGCTTTATCTTCTGGCCAAACAAAGTGTTGTATAATGTTGAAAGTTAATAAATATTTAAGTGAAACGTCAGGATAAAGAGGTGTGACGCTTCTGAACTTCTGACCAGATGTTTACCGCTAACTTTCTCATGTTCTTGTGTAACACTTTTGTCGTTTTATTGTTGCAGAAATTTGAAAAGAAGTACAACAACGAGCTGCTGAAGGGATCTGTCTCCAAAGAAACGAAGTTTGAATATGCTTGGTGTTTAATCAGGAGTAAATACAGCGACGACATCAAGAAAGGAATCGGCCTCCTGGAGGGTAAGAGCCTCACTCTTGGTCATAAACGATACTTGACAGGCCCTGAAGTGACCTCCAGAAGTTAAATTACATTTAAAATCTATTCTTAACTACTTATGTTTGTCATTTTTACAATAGATAAACAACGTAAAGGTTGATGAGGTTATCTGTTTTGTTAAAATGTCCTTGTTTATTTAATCATCCTTAATCCAGATGTGATTGGAGCTCTCGCTGCCACATTTAATTTTGTGAGTCAGAAGCTTATGAGTTTAGAAATGACCTGATCAGGACTGGTTATATGACTTGAGTTTTAATGAGACTATAGTAATGCGTCAGTTTTCATAGTGAGGGAAACTTTAACGTATTTCATTGTAGTTATTGTTATTTGATTGTAATTTCTAAAATGTATTTTTGACTGGTAGAACTTGTTCAGAAAGCGTCAAAGGACGACTCGCGGGACTTTCTGTTTTACCTCGCAGTGGCCAACTACAGACTCAAGGTGAGTGATGTTTTTCAAGTTATAATTTGCACAAATATTCCCTTTATTTGTAGGAAGTAACCAAAAACCACAGGCCAACAGGAGGTTTTGTTTGTTTCAAAGATATGGCTGGTGCAGGTTCCCAGTCATCCAGGTCATGATCAATCCCCCTCGCCCCAAAAAAGTAAAAAATAAAAAAATAAAACAACTGGACTTCTGAAGCTGAAGACATTTCAGTTCTCACCCCAGAGACTTTGTCAATTCTAAAATGTTTGAAGTGTGTACAGTTCCAAGTTTTATAAAACTGCACAAGAGAAGGAATGTGCGATATGGCATAAAATTCATATCACAATATATATTGTGAAGGGTGGCGATAACGATGTATATCGCAATATGTTTTTGGTATGAAACTTAATAGGAATTTTAAAAAGCGTAGGATGTCCTTTTGCCATCATCTTTCTATGGAACTCAGCGTTTTGCGCATACGTCAGAATACGGCAACACTATGGCAAGCCAGCCGTAGCTAGCTTGTAGCTTCGCTACTTAGCTCTCGAAGAAAAGACTAATGCCACTTGCACAGTTTTCAGTTTTGCTCTTAAAAAAGTAACGATTAAACTAAAAACTCTGATTGTACATCAGACACAGCATTACTGCGGTTAGCCGGTAGAAGACAGATCTCTATCGTAGGCTAAATTTCTATCATTTCTACCGTACACCGTTTATATTGCACATTCCTTCATGAGGGTCCCGCATATTATACTGGAACTACTCGCCCCCTCACAGTAGAGGCTCGTTAGGCTCTTGACCTGGCTCACAGAGAGATATTTGGATCACATGCATGAAGGTGTGAATTGGAGTGGAACTGACGGAGTCAGGACTACAGCTGTACTGGTAGTTTTTGAAAGTTGAAATCTGAGACCTCCTCCACAGTTTAAAGTTGTTGTTTGATGTAAATGGCCTTCACCCCCTTCTCAAAACATCTGTCTTCTGTGTCCAACATATGAACAGTCTGGTCTTCAAGTGAGTGTCCCCTTGAGGTGTAGGTGGACCGCTGAGTCTTGTCCTGAAGAGCTGCTCTCCGGCGATGAGCCATGCGTCTGTGGAGAGCTGGTTTAGTGTCTTCAATATAGAGATCTGAACATTCCTCACTGCACTGACCTGCAGACGCACCGCTCATTTTGGATTCGGGGTTCTGTCCTTGGGATGGACCAGCCTCTGGCTGAGGCTTCTGTTGGCTTTAAAATATACCAGGATGTTGTGTTTGGAGTAGAATCCTTCAGTTTTTTAGATCCTCTAGCAACATACAGGGTCTCCTGTTGGTGCTGGCAGGTCAGCACTATAAATAAGAATTTGTTCTTTGTGTTTATGCCTGGTTAAAAAAGGTGAAATGTAAATGTGTCATATGGCAGCTCCACACACTCCACACAGTTTGGAATTGATGAAGCCTCTCAGCCGGAAGAGAAACGTTCTTCTTCAGAGTAGAAGTCCAGTTGTTTTTTAACTTTTTTTTTTAATTGCCACATAGTAACAGCTACTAAGATTAACAACTAGAGGTTTAGTCAAATTCAAAAAGATGTGTGTGTTTTTACAAGAGATGTCTAAATACACACATTTTCTGTTTTTTGTTTTAGAATTTTTATGCCTCTATAATTTCTTCATCACTGAATGATCGTCTGGGGGTTAATGCAACTCAAACTCATCAGGGTTTTTATAAAATTGTGTTAGAAAACAGCAAATATTCCTCTCGTTTGTTTATAATAAATTTGACAACCAGTTACAGAAATTCTGAGAGTTCAGATTATTTAATTTTTGAAAATGATTTTAGCTTCAACCTTTGCTTTAACTCTCTCCTCCGCTCAATCCTCTTCTCTGTTTTAGTCCAGGAATTAATTCACCAACACGATGTCTGTCCAACGTGAACTCGTCGATGTTAAAATGGAAACAAACGACTCGTAGCTGTTGATAACAGAACATGACTCAGCTGATTCTGCTCCTTTACTACAAATTATGTGATAGACTTTTGTTGCGACTGATGAATTTTAATTTTTTTTATCTAACTTAAAACGTTGAAATCACAAATATTGACAACTGTGGTGATAAAGTAGATTTTTATTAATTAATATTAATAATCCAGTTATATCAGTTTATCTCAGTAATCAGGTTTTATGGATCATTTGAGAAACGAATCAAGCTCAAAGCAAACGGTTTGCATTTCTTTCTTAAATTTGGCCACATATAAACTTTTTATAGTGTCACAGAAATAGTCCACTATTATTGATTCCTTAAAATTTATTTTTATAGTTATCTACTTGGCCACCCAATAACACAATACAGCTTTTCTGCATATCAGTTTACTGATTTATGTTTTCACACGACACAATAAGATGATGATGTGTTCGGTCAGAATTCTAGTAAATCAATCTTTTATTATAAATTATTACTTCTTTGGATTAAAATAAACATTAAATAATATGCATACAACAATGAAAAATGTCTTAAAATGTCTTTGTTTAAATGTTATTACAAATTATTTCTAAATTAAGTTTATATTTTAAAATGAATGGTTAATTGAAGAGCGGTCATGTTGGCTCTGTTTGCTTTGGGTTGTCGCTGCAGCATTTTATTCCAGCTGAAGACAAATCAAAGACCTTTTACGTTTAGACAAAAAGTGAATTAAAACCTAAATGGGAGAAATGAATCCTCACTCGTTAGCTTTTTATTTTTATTTTGACACTCCAAAGGGTAAAGAGTTATCATGTTTTTGTCTGTTTGTGTGTGATTGTTTCCAATTGCTGAATAGTTCATAAACCAGTGAATAGATTTAAATGAAACTCTTCTAAAGTAACCCCTGGATGTACAGTTGATTAGCCTAGGGAGTCAACCTTATTCAAGATGGCTGCCACAGCTAGCAGACCGTAGCAAACACGAAAAATGAGGCAAAAACTCAGTTATTTTTACAGATATTGAGCTAAAAATTTAATGTAGCTAGAGTTTCCCCTACCATTATACAAACGGGGTGCCCCGCCTCGTTAGAACCGACCGCACCACCTACCGAACTGCGCACCCCTCCCTCCACCTGTCTGCACCACTGGTGTACCCCCCCCTCCACGCCCCGCTCAAAAAACTGCCAGTACAAACAGTGCACTGCTCAGCTGTCATCTCATATGTGCGCCCCCCCCCCCCTCCCTCCCCGAAGAAATTTACAGACGAGATGAGCGCCGCACCATGGCAAGTTATCTAGGCGAAACTGAGCTAAGAGTCATTTCCATCACATACTCTGAGCCAGATAAAGTTGTACTGGATTTAACCAAACGACGTGTAACATTATTTTAGGGATTTACGCGAAACAGCTCAACTTTGTCACTTTTAAACATAAGATAATCTTTGGTTAAAACTTCATCTTAAAGGTGGTTGGCGGTGTGCATTTTTCTAAGGAATTCTTTTTTTGATTCTTTTTTTTTAAGTTGGAAAAAGAAAAGACGGCAGTTTAAAGCAAGGGTTCCCAACCCTGGTCCTTGAGGAACACCATCCTGCATGTTTTAGTTGTTTCTCTGCTCAGACACACCTGGTTTTAATAAATGGGTGATTTTTCTGCAGAACATGAAGTAATTAAATCACTGAATCAGGTGTGTTGGAGCAAGGAAACAACTAAAAACATGCAGGATGGTGTTCCTCAAGGATCAGTGTTGGGAACAACTGGTTTAAAGTGAGCCATAGGAGACATCGACTGTACAGACACAACCCTGACCACTGAAAGAAGTACACACCAAAAAATCAATAAATAAAATCTGTAATTCAGTAACAGCTCTGCAGTATTTATTCTCAGGTGTGTGTTGGTCTGGAACATTAGTGTACCCGTCTCTCTGAAGATAACTTATCAAGTCTTTATGAGCTGCAGGTCAGAGTGATCTCCTCTCAAACTCTCTGTAAAATGAGATTACTGGAAATTAACGCTTCACCGAATCTCCATCCTGTTGTGATTGTTTGAGCCGCTCATTTTCTTCTTTTCATCGCTGACAACTCTGTCGTTTCTCCCCCGCATTTAATTTCCAGGAGTATGAGAAAGCCTTGAAGTACATCCGGACTCTTCTGAGGAACGAGCCGGGGAACAAGCAGGCTCTGGAGCTGGAGAAACTCATCGAGAAGGCTTTGAAGAAAGGTAAACAAGAGCCGTCATTAGAGAACGGCTTGTTTGTGAAGGCGCTCTCTGACTCTCACTTTTTGTTTATTTTTAGACGGCCTGGTTGGCATGGCGATTGTCGGGGGAATCGGCCTCGGCGTGGCGGGATTAGCGGGCCTCATCGGCTTTGCGGTGTCAAAGGGAGCTGCCAAATCCTAACCAGGATATGAAACTTTGCTGGACTTATACACTGGCCTGCATAAAAACAGAAAATAACAATTAAAGTGCTAAAAAAACTCAAGGATTTTGAATAAGTTTTCAGACTTTAACATCAACAATATTCCTTCACACATTACAGCCACTTCCTATCTGTTAAAATATATATATACGAAAGCATGGATGTGCTTCTGTTAATGTTTGATTTTGAATTACTAAACAAAGTGTTAATATTGAGGTCTAAAGGGAAGCTGTCAAACGAGTGCAACAGTCTTTGGTTCCATCTGCGGTGATGCAGTAAGTTCTGTTGGAGGTCAGCGTCTGCATTTTATTTACATGCTCTAATAATTAGTTCCAATTAAAATGTAAAGGAATGTGATGAACTCATAGAAGAACTAACCATTCTGGAGTAAACACATTCCTAATATTCACCTTTTGTTATATTGAATCACTTGTTTTACATCTTGTTGAATAAAATGACTCGTGGATTATTTGTCATTTTGGGAAATTATTCTCTGAATCTCTTTAGGAGGAGTTGAACATCAGATGTAATATTTGATTATGTTTTGAAAATGGCCAGGAAGAGCTTTGTTTGAAGGAAGACTACAATGGATTTTATCGTGTTGTTAATAAATGAACAAAAATTGAGCCAAATGGGAAAAGTTGTGAGTGAAAAACTGAATCTTTTCCTTGATTCAGCAGCTCCTTCACAGCAGGAACTCTGTCGGTTTCTCTGTCGCTCACATGGTTGTGCAGGAGTTTTAGCCCACTCCTCTTGTCAACATTGCAGCTTCCTTTTGTATTTTATAAAAACAAACATCCAGACAAACCTCACTTGTTCAGTCATGAACTTGAACCTGCTGATTGAAGCCTGAAATGGAGCTCCGGAGTTTATCACAATTTTTCTGAGCATTGCGCGGTCTGACCTCGGGGTGAGTTTGCTGAGACAACCGCTCCTGGAAAGGTCATTACTGATGTCTTTCTGCCTCGGTGTTTAATTGACGACTGTGTAGTGAACCAGATGACCTCAAATATACCAGATGGACAGAGACTGTTATTTTCATTGATCTGAATAAGTCTGAACCATCTGATGAACTTTCTTTCTTGAATTAATCAAGCAGAAAAGACAATTCTTTATAATCATTACTGTCTTACAAATGTTTTGATAATCAAATTGTGTTAGTTCACTCAATGCTTTACAGGTTGAAAAGAACTACTAATTTTTATTTTACATAAACAGTAAGTAATGATTTTTGTTCCTCATTCAGAGAAGAAATCACCTGAATATGCCTTTCTTGATTTTCTGTCTGAAATGAGCAAGCTGTCGTAAGTATGTTAAAGGTTGGTTTTCGGTCAACTAAAATGTTTACTGAAGAAGAAATGTCATGTTTAAACTTTTTCAGAAGATTACCAAGAGTAGACTCCAGAAAGTCTGCTGCTTCTGCAATAATCTTTTCTGTATGTTAAACAAGTTTCATTCTCTGACCTCGACTGTTGATAAACACCTTACGTCAAAAACACACCTCTTTCTGGTCCTTCCACGAATCAGAAAGCTCTAAACTGAACAGGAAGTAAACTCATTTAAAATGTGACAACTGCCCAGTTCAAGTTAGAATGAGAGCTGACAACATATGAGAGTTCTGGAGAATGTGAGAGTTCCAAGATTGAGAATGCAGTCGGCTCTGAAAGCTTCAGAGCAATGAAGAATCCAGAGGTTTTGGGATTATAATTCTGTTTTGAACTAACCACGCACGACTCTTCGAGGATTTTAGCTGTTTTCAACGGAGACGCTGATATCAGTTGAAAAGGATTCTTACTGAGCTGATCTATCATCAACCAGGTAACGGCCTCTTCTTCGACTAAAGTGTACCGTGGACAGGCTGGAGATCTGACGGAGCGTGCAACTTCTGGTCAAACAGATTAAATTCCCTCACACATTTCCTCTGTAAGATAAATCTCAATTTAATCTTAAACTCTTCTCTCTCATAAATCAGTACAGATATTTTAGAAATATCTTAAGCAAAGTCCTCAAATCACCGCCGAGTGATTTGAAGTTCATTTTCTGTGAAACTGTCTGTTATTATTTTCATATTTTGCCAAATTAATGTAAATGTTTGATGTTAAACTTTGATTCTGAAAATAAATGATTCCATTCATTTGATGGGTCAAAGATAAACAACGTCTCTCGTTACATTTCTGTTAAATTCAATGCACGACATTTACAGTCAGAAAAATGAAGAACTCGTGAATATTGTATGCATATATAATTCATATATTTGTCATACAACAAGTGACACGTACCTCACGTGACTCACTACAACTGTCTGCTCCTGAACAGCAAACAGACAAAACTCCAGATGTCTTAAGAGGCGCTCACATTGATGCTGATCAGTTCATCGATACATTTGATCAGAAGCATCTTTTTTTTTTTTTTTTTTGCACACAGCTTTCCCATTTTGGCTAAATGTTCAACTTAGAATTTAAATGTTGAGATTGGAACTTAAATATTTACCTTGGACAATAAATATTTAGTTTGGAAATTAAATGTTTAGTTTTGAAAATAAATATTTAGCATTGAAATTAAATATTTAATTTACACCTAAATATTTAGTTTACAAACTAAATATTTAGTTTACTAACTAAATATTTAACTTGCAAGCTAAATATTTAGTTTGGAAATTAAATATTTAGTTGGAAACTATGACATTAATAAATGTATGAATAACATGGTGAAAATATGACTGAAAAATATATATTTTTTCTTATTGAAGGCCAAATAAATTAAAATATTGCTGTTAATTTTTGACTGTGTAACTTTACAAACGGCACCCCATACAAAAAGCCCCCGCAGAGCTGTGCAAAAGTGAACATTTGCTTTGAAACAATTGTTTTGTCTTAAATGGAACATTTTGTTGTCTTAGAATAGCTCCAATCTTCTGGTTCACATGGGCATTATTATTTGCACAATTTTTATTCTGCTTTAAACAAACATTTTTGCAGAAATAAAAATAATTCCTGCTGCGCCTGACTCCTGAATGTCCTGGAGGTGCAACATGTTGCTATGGCTCATGCTTTTAAAATAATAAAATTGCAAACTGTGTAATGAGAAAATTAAGGCATCAAAAATGTTTATAAAATAGTGTTGTTTTTTTCATTCATTCAACCTTTATTTAGACAGGTTAATCCCATTGAGCCTCGAGGACTCCTTTACAAGAGAGACCTGATTTCAACAAAGAATGATGACAACAATGGACAATCATAAAAGAGGCGTACAGGTTATTATTTTTTTTTACAAATTAAAATAAGGTGGCTAAAAAGTAGCAAAAACAGCTAGAATATAAGGCGAATGTAGAAAACTAAAAACAGGAACATGTCTGCATTGGTCCCTGCCAGGAGTCCAACAGGTTCTTAAAGCCACTTGGGAGAGGTCAAGGTCGAGAGCTTCAGATCTTTTAGTAAGATATTCCAGGAAACGGGAGCAGAGTAGGAGAAGGCCCTTTTGCCTAGTTCAGTCCTCACTGAGGGAACACTGCAGGTAATAATGTCCTGAGAGCGCACGCTGTAGCTGCACTCACACAGAGACGTAGGAGGAGATGTATGAAGGCAGCAGACCAAGAAGTGATTTAAAGATGAAAATGTACCAGTGAGAGAGTCTGCGTGAAGTTAATGATGTCCAGTTAACCAGCGAATACAGGGTGCAGTGGTGGGTACGATAATCACAGCCAGTTATGAATCTTAGTGCACCATGATAGACAGCATCCAACATCTGCAGGGTGCTCGTATGAGCGTTCATGTAAATAATGTCACCGTAATCAATGGAGGGAAGGAAAGTCACAGATACAAGGTGTTTTCTAGCATTCAGGGTTAGACAGGATCTGTTTTTGAAAAAGAAACCCAGTTTAACTTTCAGTTTCTTGAGTAGGTTTTCCACATGGAGCTTAAACGAGAGATGCGAGTTAACCAAGATACTCAGATATTTATAGGAATCAACAAACTCAATGGGGACACCATTTGAGCACAAAATCGGAGGAAGAACTGCTGGGACTGACTTCCTATTGAAAAAAGCATCCCTTTGGTTTTATCTGCATTTAAGACAAGTTTGAGGTGGAACAAATCAGTCTGGATGATGTTAAATGCGGATTGCAAAAGCTGGAAAGCCTTAGCAACAGTTTTAGCTCGACAATAAACAACTGTGTCATCAGCATAGAAATGTAAGGATGCATCAAGAATGCTTTGACCTACATTACCTATGTAGATTGTAAAGAGGGTGGGTTCTAAGACGGAGCCTTGTGGTACACCATTGTTGACTGTTAAATAACTGGAGGAAGTACCATTATGTTGAACATATTGCCTCCGATCTGAGAGATAGTTAGAGAACCAACCAATGGTGTGATCTGAGAAACCAATTTCTGAGAGCAACAAAGTCCATGCTCAATAAAAAAAAATGTTGGATTGTATACCTGGATTATTGAGCATGGACTTTGTTGTTTTCGACCAGTTTGACAAGACTGTCAACAAGGAAGCGGGCCGGCAATGGAGGAGGGGCGTACCAAAGAGACCATCTAATCACAAGCAGAACTGGTTTGTTCCACTTTGGAGTAAGCTGTTGGAGGAAGAATCAGTTTTGTTGTGTGTTTCCTTGACTGATGAAACCTTCCGGATCGAAGGTGAAACGTTTCAGCTAAAAAAAAAAAGAAACGGTCCTTACCTGACTGAAAAATGTTGGCAATTTTTGAGGGTTTATGACACAAGATGTTCTGATCCACAGTGTCAAAAGCTTTAGACAGGTCTAAGAAAAGTGCAGCACAATAATCCTTAGCATCCAGTGCTTCAACAACGTCATTAAGAACCTTCAGTGAAGCAGTGGTTGTGCTGTGTTGTTTCCTGAAACCAGATTGATGTGGAGGTAAGATGTTAAATGAGTCCAGGTAATTTTTGATTTGAGAGTTTATCAGTTTTTCTAGATCCTTGGCTAAAATGCAGAGTTTAGAGATTGGTCGATAGTTGTTCAGTGAGGTGGGGTCACCTCCCTTCAGCAACGGAAGAACAAAGGCTGTTTTCCAAGTGTCTGGGATGGAGTTTTGTCTTATGGAGAGATTGAAGATGTGGGTCACAGGGACTGTGATGATATGAGCAGCCAGCCTTAAGAAATAAGGTGGAAGTTCATCTGGACCTGCAGATTTTTTAGAATCAAGATCTTTTAAGTTAATTGACCTCACTGACTGAGAACGGAGAAAAAGAGAAGGTGTGATTAACTGAGGAATGACTTGTAGAAGTTTGATTATTAAGTGAAGTGGCTGATCTTCCATTAGTAACTGTTTCAAAGAACTAGAAGCAACAAAATGTTTGTTGTAACAGTTCAGGATCTCGTGCTTATTTGACACAGGAACAGAGTTAACGAGAAGTTGTGATGGGAG